TATTGGATTCATATCGGTATCGGACATAAAAAAGTGGTATCGTGCATCTCTAGTTGTGATTGTGTGTTCTGTTTTTGTAATGAATATTTGTTCTTTTATGTTGTGAAACAGAAGCATTTGCTGACATGTTGCTGTGCAGTAAATAGTCTTTATGCACCACCTCACGTATTAAGTCCCACAACACAAATTTAATGAAAATCACAAAAAGTAGAAAAATCTTGATGTGATAAATTAAGTGATGGATTCGACTTGTTCTTGTTCAGCCTCTCAAACCCTCTCTCTGTATCCATTTAAAGTCAAGTGTTAAGTATTTGAGAGGGTAGTCTAACAGTAAACAGGGTTTTCACGACGCAGTTTCCCATCAGCACCTCTAACTGTTCAACACCTCACGTTCGCAGGCAAAGTCAAAGGTCTGTATGACGCTCAGGCGCCGGCGTGTCCCGTCTGCAAGGCCGTGCTGCGACCCGGCGAGCTGCAGGAGCACATGGAGCAGGAGTTAGCCAAACTGGCCCAGCTGCAGATCAGGTATCTCTCCCTGAGGATGCTTCATTTTACGGGAAAGTTTCCCTCTCACCACCGTCTCAAACGTTTACACTACCTCCGTTTATCTTTGTCCTTTTCTTGCTCTTCAGCTTTGAGGTGATAATTAAAGTAGACAGATCCCTCTCTCTGGATGCCCCCCCCTCAGTTTCCCCAGGTGGTCGCTGCCTTCTTCTCTGTCACCTGCGTGCAGCGTTTACAAGCCGCCTCATTGTTCCCTACATATTTCATATTATAGCCTCTGGCCTCAAGGCAACAACTCATAGAGCAGATAATGTTCTGTTAATGGCTGCTTTGGTCTAAAACATACGCATAGATCAGACACACACACACACACACACACACACACACACATTACCTGCTGCTTAGAACAGAAGAATGATTTCTCCAATAAAGGCATTACACTCCAAATCTGCTTAACGACCGCTCCGTGGACAGTAATGGTTTCAAATTGAACTTGGCCCACGGGGACACCGTGTGTGTGTGTGTGTGTGTGTGTGTGTGTGTGTGTGTCTACAGTATCCGTGTGACAGACACAATGTGAGGAGTAAAATGAGGTTACACACACACAGGATACACATTCAGAGATAAGAGCAGAGGTTGTTTACCGGCTGACATTTAAAAGACAACATTGTGTTTGTAGGTTTTCTGGGCACGTTGTGTTGTTGATTTATGCAGAGTAAAAACAGGTTTAACATATGAGCTTCTGTGTTATTACAGTGCAGCTCCGCTCCAGCACGACCACTTCATAAGGACGCCAAAGGTACACGTAGCTGTGATGTTGTCACCACATTCAGGAAGTAGCCGTCGTCCTGCCTCTGACTTGATTCTTTCTTTTTCGGGCTCCAGACTCTTTCACTGTCCCTGCACATCAAGCGAGAGGGAAGTTCCCCCACCTCGCCCCCTCGACCGGCCGAGGAGGCCCACTCTGACCGATACCAGGTAGGATTTCAAAGAGTGCATCGTAATGAACATATTGTAAGGCATTAAATAAACCTTACAATTACCAGTTGATGAAACCCAACGGGGTCTCCAAACGCTGCATCGTTGTGCCGCTGACCTCACAGAAATATAAAGTTGTTTTTTTTCCTTTTGCTGCTTTAGTTTCTTTCTTTTTTTTCCCCTCTTTATTTATAAAGTTTTGCACATGTAATTTGACATATCAGGCCCAATACAGCACTAACTGATATAAAGACATATATCAAAACAAATTAGGCCATTAAGACTCGGATGATAACAATAAAACAGAAAAAAGAAAGAAAAAAAACAAGAACCCACACACAGAAAACAAAAACAAACAAACAAAATAATAATAATAAAAAAAAAATCAACTCCCTCCCAAAGCCATACCAAAAGGGAACCCTGTGGTACAAAAGTTTAGTCTGTTGTGTTTTCAATGAGTTAAAGTAAATGATAAAAAGCTGCCACATCTGTGAGAACTTATTAACATTTCCTCTGAGTCTAAATTTTATTTTCTCCATTTTTAAGAAGAACATAACATACAGGAGCTTTCCAGGACAGCAAAATTCGACGCCGTGCCAGCAGTGAAGTGAAAGCGATAATATCCAGTTGCTTACGACTGAGGTTCAGGGTGGCGTCCTCAGAAACAGGTTAGAGAGTAACGCTCAAAACATGAGAGAGCACTTCAGAGTAAAAAGTCCAGTATAATTGAAGTGACGGGCAGGCAAAAAACATATGAGTTAAATCACAGGGGGACGTGTTGCATCTGTTGCACAGGTCAGGAATGCTGGGGTATAGCTGCTTTAGTTTCTAAGGATTGGGTTGAAATGCACGATGTCTAAGTTAGAAATACTCAGCCTGTGTGTCCATCTGCAGGGTAGGAAGTGAGAGACTCATCTCTTGTGATCAAAACACAGACAAAGAACAGCTTGTGCATGTCTGTGAGGACGAAGCGTTCGACCCTCAGAACGAGAAGCTTCATCAAGCCTGTACAATCTATCCTGCACGGCATGTTCACAGAGCAGCAGACACACAGTGATGTAAACATGGAGGAGCACAGTGGCAGCGTTGAGATCACGGGGCACAAACATTACGTGCACGATTACGTCTCTTTTTGCAGTGACAGCTTCCTCCAACAGCATCGTTTTATTTATTTATTTATTTTTATGGACAGTTTTCTCTTAGAGTGCGAATGATGTTTTCTTCTCTGTTGCAGACGTTTCTGCGCGTCCGGGCCAACAGACACACCAGATTAAACGGTACGTTGATGCACGTGGGCTGAATGTTGTTTCTGTGCCGCACACTCAGAGTCCAGACCAGGCGACTGTCACGTCGTGAAGTTGAGAAAATGAAAACGATATTTTGTTCACGCTCGTCGTCCCCACCCTCACCACTCATTCAGATATCACCTTTTCCCACACCATCTCAGCTGGCCTAGCGCCCCCACGAGCAGAGGAGCTATTAACCTTTAAACTTTGACCCCTTGATATGTTAACAGTCGATGACCTCTGCTGGTGCAGGTGCTACGTCAAATCTGCCCCATTACGCCCCCACAGCGCAGGAGCCCACCTAGACTGCGCACAAGCTGGTAAGAAACACTGAGAAGCATTTTTCTTCTTCCCCACAGTCACCGAGGATTCGACACACGAGAAACATTGATTTTATAAAAGACCACCTCTGACACTTTCCACAGACAGGTTTGAAAAACAACAGCGAGTACATCAGCTCATTAATCAGCGTTTATTTAGTTGAATGAATATAATTACGTTCATGCTTTTAATCCTGAAATAGTCTTTATTTAACTTTTCAAGTGTCTCAAAAACTTTCCATAAAATGTGAAGCACAGGCGTGACACATCCTTACGACACCAGATTAATATTTATTCCACCTGAGCTGCTTTTTCAATACAAATCTAAAAAACGTTTCCCAATGACAAACGCATTTTATTATAAATCACAGAAACTGTTGCCTCAGGTGCTTTCATTGTAAGATAAAGACCCTCTGTGAGCAGCACTTTGGCGACAGTGGGAAGGAAGAACTCCCTTTTAACAGGAAGAAACCTCCAGCAGAGCCAGGCTCAGGGAGGGGCGGGGCCATCTGCTGGGAGACGCACGTACTGAGATATCTGACACTGTTACTCTCACAGTGTTGTGTAAATGTTTCACGTAGGAACTATTTTCTCTGCCAGCCCTCTGCAGCGTGCGGGTAGTTAGTGTTACGGCTCAGCCGCGGAGCTTCTGATGGCGTTTGCGACGAGCGTCACGGTCAGAGACGAATGAAGGTTTTGTAGATCTGAAGTAACCAGATCAGGACGTGTTTCTGTTCAGAAGCTTGTAACAGAAAACTTCCAGCCATTTCTAAATAAGTGAATAAATCAAAGCATGTAGCATGTAGCGTGTAGCATGTAGCGTGTAGCATGTAGCGTGTAGCGTGTAGCATGTAGCATGTAGCATGTAGCATGTAGTGTGTAGCGTGTAGCGTGTAGCGTGTAGCATGTAGCGTGTAGCATGTGGCGTGTAGCATGTAGCGTGTAGCATGTAGCATGTAGCATGTAGCGTGTAGCATGTAGCGTGTAGCATGTAGCGTGTAGCATGTAGCGTGTAGCGTGTTTGAAAGCAGTCTGACAGCATTTCTGCACAAATACACAAACCTGCGCAGCGTCCCGGCGGCGGCTGACGCCACAGACTTCCTGCTCCGTTATTATTCCCACTGAGACTCTGCAGCTCTTAGCTGACTCTTCAAACTGCCGCTGCTGTCGAGGTCTGTTAGCCTTTATTGGGCCTTATAACCGGACAGCATAATGAGCTTCTAAATACACGTCAGGGAGGAAAAAGAGGAGAGTCGGAGGAGGAGGAGGAGGGGGCTCCTCTGTTGATTAATCAACCTCTCTCTCCCTCTCTCTTCCTCTCTCTCTTCCTCTGTCTTCGTTGTTTGATGAGCTCCTCCTCATCTATGACCGTCTCTTTAACCCTCATTATGTTTGCTGGGATTGCGGCGCTCGGGTCACAGCCGCCGGCTCGCCGTGCGTTCCCCTCGGGGGCCGCTGTCATCCAGCAGGGAATTAGAGCGCCTTAAAACTTAATGTCCCCTTTTGCAATCTGCAGTCAGTCAGGGCACGTTTGGAGAGGAGGTTCAGTTGGTGTTCTGCCGTGTTAACTTTCATATTTTTAGAGAGGAAAGCGGGGGAGGACGGTGGGATGACAGCGCGGGGACGGGGGGGCCGCTTTGAATCCCGTACTGCAGCTTCTGTCCACGCGAAGCATCTGCCTGTCTCTGCTTTAAGGGCATCAATGTGCTTGTGCATTTTGTGGAGTGAGCTCACACAGAAACTGAACTCAGTAGTTTTCAGTGTTGCAGCCATATTTTTAAGTTATTAGACGTGAACGAGACGGTTTCCACAAGCAGGTGAATTTTACGTTTGAGCATTTCCTGTCTGCACAGATGATCATTGGCTCTGAACCAGACGAACAATAATGACTTTTTGTTCCTTTAAGATTAAATTCAATACATGACACATGATTTATAAAAGTGACGCTCTAATGTTGAAATCTTAGCCCCACATTTATTTATTTGTTTATTTAATGAACACTTTCACTGGATTTATTAACCAAAACATGTGAGAGCAGAACTTTTACTCGTAATACTTCCACACTCGTATTACTGCTGAAGTAAAAGCTGTACGTCTTCCACCACTGTTCGCTTTCTTCACTGTTTGCATGTGAAGTATTGAGTGCAGGACGTTCATGCTTTTAGCTGCTGACTCTCGGTGTTGTCTTTGCATAATTTATCCCGTTAGTATTTTTATCTTTTATTTAAATAAAAATATAATAATATAGAGATAATAAAT